TCAGTTGCTGAAAGCCCAGCATTTCCTGACAGGTATCACCACTCAAGCACAGGCACCCACAGCAGCTGGCCCAGGACTGTATCCAGACGCTCCTGAATGTCTCCAAGGAAAGAGACGGTACAGCCGCTCTGGGTAACACCTCGCAGTGCTCCACCACACGCACAGTAAAGATGCTTTCCACCTCTCCTGTGCACACAGCAGCAGCCTGCCTAGGGCCATCTTATACGGGACATAGCAAAGGCCTTGCTGAAGTCCACAAAGAGCACACCCACTTTTCTCACATCTTAGAATCATAACATCAGTCAGGTTGGAATAGACCTCTGAGTTCATCAATTCCAACCGTCAACCCATCCCACTCTGCCGTACCCCTCAGCGCCGCATCTCCATGGCTGCGGAACGCCTCCATGGGCGGTGAGCGCCGCTCCCTGGGCAGCCGCCTCAAAGCATCACCACCACAATAAGAGGACCACGGCTCGTTGGTCTAGGGGTATGATTCTCGCTTAGGGTGCGAGAGGTCCCGGGTTCAAATCCCGGACGAGCCCTGCTTTTTGGATACTATCCCTGCTTTTTGGATGGCACCGGCCGTGCTCCTCCTCCACTGGACCATGCAAAGCCAAAGCAGCTGCAGTGCTGGGGTCATGCCTCTGCACAGGTAATCGCAGCAGCATCCCCTGCACAGCACTCTGCATATCCAGGCAGGACTTGAGATGCTTGTCCCATCCTGTCTGCCCAGAGCCTGGCTGGGTCTCTCCAGGGCTTTCTCACCGAGCTACACACCCGACTGATGGGCGTAGAAGGGGTCCTTGGGAAGCTCTCCTCACACCCCCACAGTTCTACCTGCCTTGCCCGCTGCTCCCTCTTCTCTGCCCAAATGTTTTCCCCAGACAGACACCCTCAGATACTGTTTTGCCACCCCTGTTCTTGCCGCAGTAATGGTTCCCTGACCCCATGAATGTGCCACCCCAAAACTGACAGCTCTCCCCTCAGCACCCGGCATTGTCCTCCAAGCCCCGGTCCACACCATGAGCTGGGCATTGTGAGAGTGCCTAAAATGGAAGGGTTTGTCCACAGGTTGAACCCAGGACCTCTCAGCACCCTCACTGAAAAGTGAGAATCACACTGCTAGACCAGGTACAATTTATGGGACTGTGATGGGGCGATAGGAAGTGGAGAGGCACCACTGAGTGCTCTGGTTGTCAGAAATAGGCACATCCCTCTTGTTCTGCAGCCTGTGCTGTGGGGTGGGCACCTGGACATGGCCACAAGCTGTAGCAGCTCTATCTCCAAAGTCTATAGGGACAATAGGAACATGAGGCTGTGGACAGGAATTCAGTCATACAAAGGATTACAGCTCAGAGGCAGAGTGCTGGCTTTGTATTAAAGAGACCTTGGGTTCAAGCCTCAGTATCTCCAGTTGTTCTTGTCATCGTTTTTTGTCCCCTCTGTGAAAACCTCCTCATGGGAGCTGCAGTATTAGAATCACACTTCTCCCACTGAGGCACAGCCAAAGGAGTTCTGCGCTATGCACCATGGCCCCAGATGGAGCCATATAATAGGGATGTGTTTGGTGCTGGCATCACCCAGTTGTGCCATCCATGTGGCCCTCTGAAACACCTCACACACTGAGCAGTGCTGTGAACCTGTGCTTTGTCTCTTTTGTCCCCGTGACACATTGCTACCAACAGTGGTGACTGCCATTCCAGCAGACCGGACATTTCCAGCTTTAGTGTCAGGCAGTGGGGTCCCATCCCATCCCTGTCCATCCCTGCCAGTTTGTGGATGCCCAAAAGAAAAGCTCGTGGCCCTGGTCCCCAGCCACCCAGCAGCATCAGCCAAAATCCATCGCTGTGAGCAGGATTCGAACCTGCGCAGGGAAACCCTATTGGATTTCAAGTCCAACGCCTTCACCCCTCGGCCATCACAGCCCCGTGTGCTCTTGTTTTGCAACCTACAACTTCCCTATTCTGAGGGTCTGGCTGCAGAAAGGGAAGCCCCTACAGTCATCATGGAGAGACCCATGTTCCCAGCAGCCCCAGAGCTACAACCCCCAGTGCTCACACTCACCTTCCCCCCTATCATCAGGTCACAGGGTTGTAAGAAGGAAATGGTGGGGGGATATTTCACACTGAAGCAAAAATCATACCCTGAGACCAACAAGCCAGGGCATACAGATGCCTGGGCCCCCTTACCTTACTTTCTGTTAGCACCAAAGTGCTGTGGGCAGCGCTACCTTTTGCGCTCAGTGCTGGTTTCCAGGAGGACCATGCTGATGGGCCTAAGGAATGGAGAAGGTTACACGAGAGACCTTCACCCTTCTTGTTTTTGAGTGCAAGAGGTCCCAGGTTGAACTCCTGGAGTTGGCCCCTCCTTTTGGGTACTACTGCCCTGCTCTGGCTGCCAGCACGGAGCTCCTCATGGGCCCAGCTCCAGGTGTTATCCCCCAGTGAGGTGCCACTGCTGCTTGAAGTGACACACAGGATGAATCCAATGATCTCAATCCCATACTTTGGCTCCTGGTCCTGCTGGTGACCCCAGTGGCAGGAGGATGGAGACAGGAGGTTGGCAGGGACACGGGGACCTTGGGAGCACCCCATTAGGAAAGGAGCACGTGGGCACCATGGCTTAGCTGGTTAAAGCGCCTGTCTAGTAAACAGGAGATCCTGGGTTCAACTCCCAGTGGTGCCTGGCCTGGGGGCTGCTTTTCTTCCTAGCTCCTGAGTTTGGGTGCCTGGGCTGGGGTCTTTGCCCTCACCAGAGGCACTTCGTTGCTGCCTGTGTCCCCCTGCTCTTCTGCCTTGCTCCTCCCACCACATGCCCCTTCCCACTGACAAAGCAGCCCTGTGCAGTCTGAGTTATGTGTTTTTACTCCAGAGCTCACTTCAACGGGAGACAGAGAGTGTCACAGAGACACCAGGGCATATCAGTAAGTCTGGGCAGGGGTAGAAAGGGAGCTGCACTGCAGTTCATGGGTTTCACTGGCAGCAGCAGAAGTGCCCATCACTCAGGGCCATGCCATTCCTTTCCAGCACTGCACAGACTCCTGCTGTTTCTGGGTGCCACACACTTCCCTAAGGCACCAGAAGCTCCAGCTGCCCCACTGGCCCCAGGCAGAGCACAGTTGAGGAACCTGCCTGCTGGAGCAGGCAAAGCACGTGCTGGTGGCAGCCACTTCAGCATGTCAATGATGCTGGAGCACCTGGACCTGCAGTGCAAAGCCCTCCTGATGCCCTCTGGTGGGGACTCAGGTGCTCTGAGACTCGGCTGTGTGGCTGTGTAGAGGTCCTCCCCATGGGAACAGTGCAGCTGAACCCTGTTCAGCACCGTGTCATCCTTCCTCAGACCCGTGGGCAGCTCCACCCATGAGGAAGAGAGCTGGGTGGGGATCCCAGGCTGGCTGCCAGGCAGAAGGCTGAACCTTGAAGCTGATGCTGCTGGTGTTGGTGCCCCAGTGCCCCACGCCGTCCTGCTGGACTCCTACACCTGCCTATGTGGTGAGAATAGCAGGCCCATGCATAGCTGGGATTAGCCATAGGTGAGAGGTAAATTCCGGTGCCGAGGGCTCGGCTTGGGGCTGCTCGAGCACCGCGGGGCCTGGCACCGTCCTGCCTGGCTCCAGGCCATGCTGTGTGCAATGAGAGCCGCGTTCTGCCGTTTGCTCTTTCTTAAACCTCTGTAGAGCCTATGCCTCTTCTGCAGGAGCTGAGTAAGGCTGGGCTCAGTGACACAAATGTCACCGAGCTGCGGTGACGCGACTGGATTCACTCTCCAGTCTTCCCAGCTGCGACGGCAAAAGTAACGATGAGGGTGGGATTCGAACCCACGCGTGCAGAGCACAATGGATTAGCAGTCCATCGCCTTAACCACTCGGCCACCTCATCCTGCCCCGCGCCGCCCGCCCCGCCCCGCCCCTCCCTGCCGCGCGCGCTGCCCGCCGCCCGCCCGCCGCGCCGGGCTGTTGCAGGGCTCGAGAGGAGCGCGCGCAGTAAGGCCCTCTTAGCGCAGCCGGCAGCGCGTCAGTCTCATAATCTGAAGGTCCTGAGTTCGAGCCTCAGAGAGGGCATTCTTTTAGCTCCCGTGCCGCGGGATACGCCGTGCCGGGGGATACGCCGTCCCGCGTGAGGCGCGCTTTTTTGCGGCAGCGTATGACCGCCGGCAGGGCGGCCCCACGCGGAGCTCGGTGTTGGTTTTGAACGGGACCGACTCCCCGCTGGCCCCCGTATGCAGAGCCCGGTGGGGTGGCAGGAGTGCAGCTGTGAGGTGCAACAAAACAAACAAACAAACAAAACAATCTTCTAAAGAAATATTTTTCTATAGAAAAGAAACACGCTGCCCTCTCTGAGGCTCGAACTCAGGACCTTCAGATTATGAGACTGACGCGCTGCCGGCTGCGCTAAGAGGGCTGTGACAGCACGCCTCTCCTCGGGGCCTGCAGCGCGCTGCCGTGCGCCCGGGCGGAACAGCGCCCCCTGCTGGCAGCGGGCGGGGCGAGCGGGCGGGGCGGAGGGCGCGGGGAGGGGCCGGGAGAACGCGGTACTGGGCAGGACGAGGTGGCCGAGTGGTTAAGGCGATGGACTGCTAATCCATTGTGCTCTGCACGCGTGGGTTCGAATCCCACCTTCGTCGACACTTTTGCCACCGCTCAGGCTGAGTGCAGGTGGGCAGCTTTCTCAGCCAGAACAGCCCCAGCTCCCACAGCCTGCCCTCATCACCCGGGAGCTGCTCCAGGCTCCCACCATCTTTGTGGCCCACCGCTGGACTCTCTCCAGCTGTTCCCTGTCTGTTTTGACCTGAGAGCCCAGAACTGGACACAGTATTCTAAACCTGGCCCCACCAGTGCAGAGCAGAGAGGAGGATCACATCCCTCACACTGCTTGGCCATGCTCTTTGTAAAGCACCCCAAGCTCCCACAGGGTACTTTGTGTGCTTGGTTAGCACTAGATTAAAACAGAGGTTTTTTGTGGGCAGACCTTTTGATTAGCAACACAGGAACAGATGAATTCCACTAACAAAAATATTTATTAGATACAAAAAACATTTACATGAAACAATGAAGACGGTGTGAAACAGCCACTGTAGCAGTTGAATTCTGGCTTAACAGAGTCCCCAGGAGCAGCAGGCACAGAGCACAGCACGGCTGCTCTGTAGCACAGGAGGCTGATGCATGGTCACAGAGCTCAGCTCAGCAGAACGCTGAAAATGAACAGCTCAAAGCACAAGTGCTTCAGTCTAAGCCACTGCTGCTATTCCATCTTTAAGAGGAAACAATGGAAAAACGAATATATTTAAAATTAATTTTGGAAGGCAGGTGACAGATTTGGACTGAATTTCAAATGAAATTGGAAGCAAATCTGCCCAGTGATCTCTGGCTGACAAACATTTACTGCCCAAGCAGCAATAATTGTATTTCACCAGGCAGGACTGTCCAAGAAACATCTGCTGCTGTTTTAACTAAAAAAAGAGAAAGGTTACTTGTCCTGGAGTACTGCAGACACAAACTACATCTTCTCATTACTTACAAGTAATCAATATTAAATTTAACACAAGAAGTCTTGAATTTTCAAAGCTTTATAGAAGAGAGTGTAAGTAGTCTACTCTGCCAAAAAAAGGGAAATCTTTCTTCCACAGCTGTTTACTGAAGAAAATATCCTGCTTATCCATCATGACAATTATCTTGTAGAGTAACAGGTTTGTTTTAATGCTGTATATATTCAACATAACAAAACTTGGGCCCAGCAGCCCAAAAATCCATCTGAGTTTGCATAGAGCACTTAAATAAAACAAAAATACAGCAAAATGTTGTAACTACTTGATAATGAGTACTGTTGACACGAGCAGGAAAAAAAAAAACACAACAACATATCAAACCAAGGTGCTGCTGCAAGGTAGCCTCTGCATCGAGAAGCAGGGAGCTGGGGCTGTATCCTGAGGCCTGTGTCTGTGGAGACCAATTGTTCTGATGCTTCCAAGGGTCCTTGCTATCTGAATGTTTTCTCCTGGTGAAATTATATTTATTCACATGCTGCCCACAGAACGATTCTCCAACTCCTCCCAGTAGCAGTATCCCTACCCGCATTTCTATTTCTATAGAAATTGACTTCCAGTTGTAACAAAAAAATACTGGCTCTGCAACAGCGTTCCTCAGCACGGTACAAAGTTTCAGAGGCAGGGGAGATAAAACTGGGTGCAAGGAGAGCATCAGCAGAACTCTGCACAAACCAATGCATTCAACATGAGAGTCGTAGGAAGAAAAGCTACAGCACATCAATTTAAGGCTTCCTAGAGCAGCACTCAACTTGTCTCCACATTCATGAAACAGGACAGCTTCAAAGGAGTTCCCAGGCCAGCCAAATCTCAGCAGAGAGCTAAAGGAACACAGTGAGCTCCAGCACATCATCTCTGCAAGGCAGCCACACAAGAGTTGCCCAGACCCAACATCTGCTTTGCTTTTCTCCCTGGGCATTTGCTTTTTCTGCAACATGCCCCAGAAGCTCCTCTTTTGAATCATCCAGACCTAGATTTCTTCACCAAGTCTCTTGATCTGCACCTGTGCTTTAGTTCTGCTCAAATATCTACCATGTCCATCAGGGCAGAGAGGTGAAGCTCAGAAGCAACTTCACCCTCCCTGTTAGCTCTGAGGAGCCTTTGCAAATGCTTCAGTCTGTCTGACAGCGCAGGGCTTCGGTCATCCATTGACAGCTCCAGTCTTGCTTCACTCCCATCCTGGTCAGAAGGAAGAGAGAGATAAGACTGAGAAAGAAGCATTATCTAGTATTAACATGGGACCTCTCTGTTCACTGACCTTCCACTTTGCAGAACAACAAAGGAGGTCACCTCCAACCCCCCAAGGAGAGATGGTTAAAATAGCATGTTCTCCTATTTCTGGAGCCAGCATTCCCTGGGTCTATCCCAAAGCCAAAGGGTGTAGCCTCAGCCACAACCACAACTTTCTGTGTGCAACACTACAAGGGATACTATTATAACTGCCAGCAGCAGACAACAGTTCAACATGTATGCTAACAGCATTTCAGATCTACAGAAAGTACGTGCCTCTCTGGGAAGTTTGTACACTAGGGCACAATTTTCAATTCTTCATTTCCCAAATCTATGCAACACTGCATAGTAAGGCTGTAGCCACTGAACTTCTGTGATTACAGCTGGTATGGCACCTACACTATACTCTTCAGAGCCAGTTTTCAATACCACCATCTTACCACTTGAACAGATGACATGGGACTCTTGATCAACGGACCAGCAAGAGTTGGAGTGGAGATCAAGGACTGGGGAAGGTAGAGAGGAAAGCCCACAAGGTCACCAAGGGGCTCAATGTCCTCAGCTAGATATTGGTGCAACTGTTCTTCAAACCTGAAAAGAAAGGTCAAGAACACCAGTCAGACTGCAGCCTGGCTTTGCTCTTGTAACCAGTGGGTAAGACATGAACTGCAAATTCAGAGGTGTCTGAAAGAACCAAAGACAGCAGTCATTTCCAGTAGACAGCACCCACTGCTATTACAAAAAATACACTGGTGAAAGATGTGGCCCAGAAACAACCTAAATAAACTGAAGACTTCCAACTGATGGAGAAAGCAGAAAAGAGAGGAAATCCTTTGAGACCTGCATTGCTATTAGCATCAAACCAACATTCCCATGGTGAACTTAACAGACACCGGGGACAGAAACTACTGAACACTGCATATAACTATACAGCTTTAACACTAGTGGCTTAATTGACCAATTTCCAATCATTTCTCAGAGCTCCACTTGCTGGACTGTTCCTGTAATGAAAGTAACAACTAGCAGTGAACTGCACTGAACTGATGTGCTTGATGAGGATGTGAAAGTGGAGATAGACCAGGAAACAAGCCTACACTCCTAGCACTGCTGGACTTCAGCTTTCCAGTGCATGCAGGTTCATGATTGCTAACAACCCTGGACTGGAGCAGCAAGGATAGGATGGTGCTCTTGTAACTCACCTCTTGCTTTCCATTTTCTCCAGTTTCAATTGAGTTAACAGGCGCTCTGGGAGGTCCTGGGCTGAAGCTGAGAGTTCATCTGCACTGGAAATGTTCCTTCCTTGCCCTGACAGTATGCTTACACCAGCACCATACTGATCTGACATGGAGACCCTACAGGGTTTCTTGAAAGAGACAGGAGATTTTACCCTTGACCTGGAATGGGGGGAAAGAAAATACAAAAAAAAATGTTATGAGTTTATTCTTCCCTACTAGCACAGAAATTCCAGAAAGTAAGTGACTGTTAGGAGACATGTTCTCCTTGCACCCCAGACTAAGAAACTACCACTGGGAAGTGGGACTTGAGAGAAGCTGACAGAGGGTTGGGATTCAGTCCAATGAAATACAGCCAGCCAGTCTGAATGGGGGTAGAGAAGAAAGCCAGGCTCTTGAGAGTTCTCAAATCTGTTACCTCAAAAGTCAAGCACAAATTCTCTTTTAAACTCAAAACACTGCAAAGTTAATACGCAATTGCCAAAAAAGTGAATTTGCAAACCATCTAACAGGTCATGGCCACAATCAAATGTAAAGAATAAGGCACTACCAAATAAAGGGTATGCTAATTATTTTTATCCCTATGGTCTTCCCCTACACCTCACACCATTTTATTTTCATGCTTCATCTACCTAGTGGGCAAGTTTAATTCCAAAGCTACAGCAGTGATTTCTTTGGCAGAACTTCAGTCACAACACTTTGAGCAGCTGCTCCAAGCAACCCCATTTCTTTGAGAGGAGTAACCCTAAAAATCACATCTAATTACAGTCTAATTTCCACACAAATGCCCTTGTACATCCCTTTGGGAAGATGTACAAAAGAACACTGAGAAAATATCAATGCGGGTTCTCAGCACCATAGCACTATGCAACTTTGACAGAGGCCCTAAGTAACCTCATTGGAGTTCATTAAACAGCTCTGGTTACGTAAGAGGCAACCAAATGCTTTTCAAGTAGCCTTGCATAGGCAGTGCCAGCAGCTTCCTCACCTCTTGTGGCCCTGCCGGATCTCCTCCTGTGTGCGTAGCCTGGCTTGTTCCCATGAAAAAGGGAGAGTGAAGTTCTTTAAATGTTCCTTGAAGTAATACACACGAATCTGGCCATCTTCACTTACTGCTTCTGTGAACAAACCCCAAACTACTGTTTATTATCAGTACAGATTTTTCCCTGAAAAGAAAAGTTCAGTATTAAAAAGATTTGAGGGAAAACAGCACGAGACCTTTCAAGTTACCTCTCACTGTACTCTGCATGCAGAAAGGGGTCTGGTTTTGAGTAATTTACTGTTCAACATACCACGTTACTGGAAATGACTAAAAAATTTAACTTCATTTATGAAATTCTTGTGCATCTAAGTTCAGTGTTTAGCAAGGTAAAGAGCCATTTCAAAGCAGACTGCCTAGAATTAAGCCAAACAGGGCACAGAAGTAACCATGTACACTTCACATTCTAAGTAAACAGAATTTGAGATACTAACTTCATTAACCCATCAAAGTGCTCATTAAGAGTGGCAGTCTTCCATCTCAGATGACCTGAGCTGATGTGGCTTGTAAAGGCAATTTAAACACCCTCTTCCACTGGGAGAACAGGACTTGAAGGACTTATTATACATTCCTACGTGGAAACAAACATTCTAATCACAAGCTCAAGTGATTATCAACAATAAATACATACTCTACGCTGCAGAACGGTATGTAGAGCAAGCACAGTGCCATTCTGCAGTGTGAAGAAAGATCAAGACCAGAGCTCCCTCCTTGCTATTCCCTGCCTAAAGGCTTTACTGTCAAGTTAATAAACACAGTTGTGCAGGAAGTGTCATTCTTGCTATAGGACACACAATACCTGGTGCAACAGGCAGTTTGGGTGGTTTCCAGTCTCTCAGCTTATGATCAATGCATGTTGCCAGGATATCATCCCAAGGAATCTCATCAACAGAAGGTCCATCACCAGAGCACCTCAACGGCCCATTTTTCCATTTCTGGTATGTTTTGCTCAACAGATTCTCCACTTGAGACTGGATCAGTGGTTGAGTATGGGAAGAACTGGCAATCTGAGATGCATACTGAAAAATCATTTGGCAAACAGGACGCCAAGGAGCTGGAGGAGGAAAAAAAAACAGTAACAACAACAACAAATAACAAAGCAGACTGCAAGAATCTGTGATGGAATCAGTTGATATAAGTGGACAGCTCAGCACAGAGTAGGCACAACAGAGAAGGAATGAGCAGCTAAGAGGATGTTGCTACATAAGTACGTACCACCTAATGGAGGCAGATCTAGGTAGGGGATCTGGAAGGACAGCACAGCCTTTTTCAGCCAAGCTAGGTGATCAGGCACATTCCAATGCAGGTGGGGCAACAGCTTGTTACCCCCGGGCTCTGAAAACTCAGTAACAGGCCAAGACAAGTCACAAAGATGCTCTGAGGATGCCACCTCTGAAAGAAACTGGAGCACACTGTTGTACAGCTCTATGATGACCCCAGGCTCCTGAGATGGCAGGCCAGCTAAACGTCTCTCCTTCCAGTCATGGTAGAAGCGCTTGCCAAATTCACCATCGATGCCATCCTCAATGTACTCCTGAAGGGTCTGACTGCAGAGCTCAAGGGAGTTTGGGCACTGGGAAACCAACCAGCTCACAGCTGCAGAGATCTAAGACACACAAAGCACAAGCGGTTGGAAACTGCACTCCACAGGGATAGTGAGGATTCAGCCCTGCAATCTTATGTTTGATAGAACATTACCTAAGAAACTACGTAGAAAAATTCAAATAGATTGCTTTTAATCAGTCACCAGGCCACTATTTGCAAGCACAAATCAAACTGACGGACAAGGAGAGGCTGCCTCAGAGAGTACTGTACAATCTCTCCTTCCATGAGGCCTCCTTCAATCCACCCACTGAAGATGAGGAAAGAGAGGGTGGCCAAGAGTGCTACATAGTGACCTTTGCATTTTAGGACTGGGAGCATCAGATAAAGAGGCTTACCTCACCACTAGCACTCTTTTCTTACCCTGCAACTGTAGCCCAGCTAGTCAACAAGAACGGATTTACATACACTACATATTTCAGTTTGTGCAATTTTCATTATTAGAAAGAACAAACATCATCTGTGAAGCAAATGCCAATCTTGGTCAGTTAAAGGAATGCAGTCACCAATAATGGAAAAAGTTTTAGGCTAGTTCTGCCCCTAACTGGAACAGCTGTTAACAAGCACCTGATTCAGGTACATGAAAAAAACTGGTATAAGATTTTTGATTAAAAACTACAATAAAGAAGATTTAACAGGAAAAAATATTCCATTACAGAAGACTGCTGAAATTCAAGCTACAGAAAATGTAACGATCACTCTTTACACTGCATTAATAGTGAAGAAAGGTTAATAATTAGCCAAGCAAGGGTTCTTACCCTTCCGGTGCCTTCTAAGTCAGTGATAGAACCTGGTAGCTCAACAATGATGTAGTCTGAAATAAGCTGGGCTGAAATCAAGTCCTGGAGCATTAAACCTAAATAAGTAAATAAAAACAAAAAATAAAAAGCAACTCATATACACTGATAGACAACAGATGGCTATCCCCTGCTCTGACCCAGTCTCACAATCTGCATACATTCACTGCGTGGCTTCACTCTCCATCCCTCCCCTAGACTTTCAGGATCAAATACTGAGTGCAAAGGAAAACTGAAGACTAAAGAAGAGTTAACCAATTTCCATACTGATAAGTGTTAATGTACCTGGATTTCCACCAAAGCAATGAAGTGTCTCTGTACTTCACATCTTTTACTAGGCTGTGTATCTGAGGCTGCATAGACCTGAGACCCCTCAGCATTCACATTATTTACAAGCCTTTCAAAAACAACTGTATACCTTCTTCAACTTCTTTCTCTGTGGCCTCCTCTTCCTGACTGGGGACTAGAACCAGAAGCGGAACTGTTGGCTGGAAAGGTTTGGCCTGAAGTAACTGTTTCAACTGCAGCAAAGCTGAAAGCCAATAAACATCTTCTTCTGCAACATCTTCACTTCTAACTCGAGGGGGCAGGACGAGAATGAGACCACTGGTTCCAAGCAAGTCTTTTTGCGTACTGGATGCATCGAGCTCAGAGTCAGAGAGCACACCATGTACCACCTGTACAAGTAACAAAGACGACAACAGTAAAGCAGCCAAAGAGCAATTTTCATACTGAAAACTGCAGCTCGTTATCACCAGTATTCAACTTTGACATGCATTACCAGCAACTCTACAAAACCTCAGACAATGAATTATAAGAAAGAAGTCTCCAATAAGTGCAGGTGAACATAGAAGTGCACTTTAGCACCTGATCCAGCATCAGAAATTGATAGGATTGAGGTTCAATTGCTAAACTATATATAGGTAGGCATTTACTCAATGGACTGGAAACAAGAAAAAAATCCACATTTCTTTCTCTAGACCTTTTCAACAAACTAATCTCTCCCAGTGTCATCTCTCTCCATCAGACAGGACACAGTGTGAAAATCTTCCTCATGCCATCCACTGAAAAAGATTGTGCAGTTATGGCCTGCTATCACAAGACTGCTCTCACTTACCTTAACACACACACTGACTTTGATGTTTCTGCTCCCTTGTATGCCAGAAGAATTAAACAATGTCAGTGTTTGAATTTTAACTTCTTCACATGAGGCAGTTTTCTTCCAGCTTTTGTCTTTCATGAACTTGGCCTTCAACCATTCTATCAATATCCTAGCAAACAACAAGAAGTGCTTTCATTTTATTTATTTTTTAAGTGGCACTGTAAGCCTTTTTAAGCATCGACTTAACTAAGATAGAGTTTGTCTATCAGATGTCCTGAAATTCTCCATTACCTAAAGGTTTTCTGTTTTCAATGTGAGGAAAAGCAATTCAATGAACAATAGCAGGAGAAGATAAAGACCACTGCAGTTAATTCTAACTTTAATTTTATTTTACTTGGAAGGAAAAAAAAAAATGGAAGTTTGATATGGTAGGAGAAAAGTAGACATCAGGAACTGCATAGTGCTACCCTTCCTTCATTCCATCACTATGCTTGAAAAAGAGACCATGGAATCAACACTTCCGCTTACCTGTTGGGGTCATCCTCTGCATATTCATCATCATTTGGCAAAACCAATAGCACCTTCCAAAACACCTGGTCTTGTTGAATTGGAATATGTTCAGCAATTAATGAAGCGAGATCCAGGGGAGTCCATGCTAAATCACTTAAAGAGAGACAGAACTGGTAAATAAAAAAAAGAACCCCTCAAGGCTGCTTTTCTTGTCTAGAACAAGTTATACTACTGCAGCTGGTTACTGTCTAATTCAGGAAGGTCTGAAATTAGACCTTATACTTCAGCAAAGACCAGATGCCTTCAGGAACTCCAGTTACCAAGTCTGGCGGTAACCAGACTTACTCTGGGGATTGTGGTACCACACACATATTACTTCACTTCCACACTACTTAAATACTCTGCTCCAATAAACTCATAGGGCACTAGAGTGCCCGACAAGTTATAAGAAAACAAATGCCTCGATGCACATTAGAAACATCAATTCCTTTGTGCCATGAGCCAGGCTCATAATGGCTTGTACTCCTCTTTATGGCTCGTGTTCCTCTAACATTGCCCAGATCCCACCCAGCAGGAGGAGAAAATAAACAAACAAACAATAATAATTATTAAAAAGTGTCTACACACACATCCCAGATTCTTCAGGTTACACTCAGAGCAATGGGTCCAGAGAGCCCAACACTTTCAAGAGTTTACTATCCACTTCTCTCTTCTGAAAAATATTTACAGAATCAAGGCTGTAAGTGGACACTGAAGTATGGTTTCCCATTCTGCAATGATACTTTAAAGTTCTACGGCATTTGCTGCACATTTTGTAGATAGAAAATAAAGATCAAATGCCAACATACCTTAACAACTGCTGATAGAAGTGCTGAACTTTGATTTCATGCACTGTCTTGTTTCTCAGCCAATTCAACCTGAAAACAGAAGACCCTTGGTTGTGATTTTTTTGGTATAATACAGGAATTTTAGCTATAGTTTGAAAATAGTATGACCTGAGAAATACTACAGATGCTTTAGAAAGTTGCAGTTAGTGGAAGAATTATTTTATTAGGTTTAAGACCTTACTGCAAAACAATTAATTTTCACAATGGAAGCAGATAATTTGCTTTCCAAAACTCAGATTGCCATCTGCTGTCATAAATATCCTTACCTCGTGCAAGAGACTCCCAGCTTTCCTCCATTCCCCATGTTCACAATCCTCTTGCATAAGTTCTCCATGGTTATAGGCCACTCAGCACTGGGTGACAGGGCTTTCAGTTTATTTTTCGGATCCATGCAGCATGGAGCAGCTGGAAATGCCCTCATTTGACGTTTCAGCTTTGTTCGAGCTGCCACTGCCTCCCTCCACCTTCAGAAGAGAATAAATAAGGTCCTGTTAACTAAATCTTCTGCAGTCCAACAGGGTTCTTCTCTTTGCTCTTCAAATTGGATCAGGCTATCAGTGTGAGTCTGCCCAGTGGAGATGGTGAGGTGGTGCAATTGCACCGAGCTGTGAACTCACAGCTGAGCACTGGATGAGACCTGCCAACCATACGTGTTCAGCATCATAAACAGTCTGCTTTGTGCTCCATTAAAAAAAAAGAAAGAAAAAAACATACAATAACAATGAAAGGAGACAGGAGCTTTCTTCTGAGCAAGCCACACTTTCAGTGGTCAGACAAACCACAGAATGAAAGCAGGATTGCCCCTCTTCCATCTCATCCCTTGCTTAGCTATCCAGCTTGGGTTACTCCCAAGCACTCCCCACGCAAAAGTTCAACTACAGCTTTCCTTCTCCATTTTCAGCATGTTTATTCCTAACACACATAAAAGTTTTTGTTAGCTTTTTGGGTTTCCTTTTTTGTTTTTTTGTTGTTTTTTTTAAACATACAATCAGTTAAAGTTTCTTTAACACTCAAGAGCTTGCTGGAAATACCTACGTCTACTAAAATTAAAAAAAAAAAAGCCAAACAGCCTCTTTCTTGCTCTGTCTTTAAAGAGCTGTTTTCACAGGTATTTTTGGGACATATAACAATATTCCCACATCACCCAGTCGTCTTGACTGCTACATGTATTTTCACCACTCCTCAGATACCTTTAAGCTCTTCCTTACTGTTCCCTATGCCACTGAAGGTGATTTATATCAGTCCTGAAGAGACACACTTCATTTCAGGACAGAAAGAAATCTGCAAGGGAAGGTGTTCCTCAGAAAAGAAAACAGCCTGCTGCTTTCTCTCAGCAGTAAAAAACACCTCCTGAAATGCACCTCCACCTGGCAGTACAGGGGCAGCACAGGAAGAAACGAGTCTCTGCCATGGGGCACCACAGGAACTACAAGGCATTTAACATACATCCAGAAACAAGCACCCAATACAGAGAATCCAAGGGGAAATTATAACACATTTCTAGAAATAATGAAACTGCATCTTCATGCCAAGATCATTACTTGACCCTAAGAAGGTGTGTTCCCCTCCTACACATAACTGAGAACATTAGAGTCTGGTAACTAGAACATAAGCCTATCTTTATTGTGGAGCCAACTAGCAAAAGCCATCTCAAAGAGACTGACAGCTGCTCTTTAAGCCCTATTAGCCCAGCCCTTGTCCATGCTCCTGAGAGAAGTAGTTCTGTCACAGGATGGCAACTCACCTTTGCAAATATTTGCAGAAACACTGGAGCTCTTGAATGGTTTCTTTTGCAATCTGGAAAATCTCATCCTCCAGGAAGAGATCCATGACATGACCACACACTTCTTCTGAACACCGGGCAATGCGGGCTTGTTGATCTCTTTCTAAGGCACATCTAATTCAAAACAAAACTTTTAGTGAGGCAAAGGCCAGAGAAAGTACTAGAACAACTAGCCAAGACACAAACGGACAAGACCACCAATGCAGCTAGCAAAGAGGAGGGATTTTCCACCTTTGTACACTGTGGCAATTTTAAATAAGGCCTACAATCAAATCTAAAGTCATTCAAATTTTACACTGATCACAAGCTTCCAAAGAAAAGCCTACAAGAGGAAAATCCACAGCTGAGCTGTAAAGAAGTCCTAATGAAAGTAAGCACATGGGGCGGCCTTGTACACAAGAAGGACTACAACCTCCACCCTGGAGGACTGCTACTGTAAAGGCAAGCTGATATCATTCTGCACGGCCAAGTACACTTGCCCTCTGTTCAAATTAACTTAATGGAAGAGGAGCTTAGAGAAAGCTAAGCAAGGAGCCCAGCATTTCTCGATAAACTATTACCCTTTATAAAGCACTTACAGCAAAGTATAGCATAGAGAATGTTATACTTACTTTAATTCATTGGCTGAAGCTTCTTGAACAGTCTCATTTATTACTTCTTCCATTAGCTCTATACTCACCAACTGACTCAACTGCTTTATTAACTGTTCTCTTTCCTGCCTCTGCCTGGAAGGAGAGAGTAGAGATTTATATAAGCAAGCCTGCCACTTAGTTACTTACATGCAGCCTAATACCCACAAGTTAGCTCACTGCTTTTTCTCAAAAAAAAAAAAAAAAAAAAAGAATTAGCTTGCACAGAACCAAGTCTCGTTAATATTAGTAACACTTGGGCTATTTCTTACTCAGTAAGCTACAGACAAGTAGTTCTCTCAAAAGAAAAAGCTCATGTGTACAGCAGGGCCAGGAAGCACCTCCCTCTCTGGAAGCTCCAGCTGATTAGAAGTTCCCAAACAATCCCATCTATGATTTTCACAGTGGCTCCATGAGGTTAACAAAATACTAACTAGCAGATCATACTACTCCCAAGAATAGGGAAGTGACAGCCTGAGTGATCCCACGGCAGCTCCAAATGACACAAACTGAGCAGCACTGACAGGTGAGAGACACAGGGCCTGGGTATATGCATGAACACGTAGGTTGGCACCTGCTGTCCTTAGAGTACTAAGAGGGGATGCAGCCCACCCTGCCGGATGGCAAAAGCAACAGCTCACCTTTCTTCCTCCACTCTGCGCCTTTCCTCCTTCACACGCTCCCTTTCCGCATTGAACGTGGTTACAGCCACTTGTCGGAGGACTTCCTCCATCACTTCAGTCACCAATTCCTTCATGGTGGCCTCTGAGGTGCTGTATGGAAATACAATCCTCTTTTTAAAGCAAGTTTTCAGTCAAAACCTCAAAGAGGAGGCACCATACCCCATGCCCTCAGCCAGCAGACAGTACCACTTGTTGTCCTCCCCCATGCCCTGCTGCAGGGAGGGGAGTGAACGTAACAGAACACTGGTGGAATGGAGTTGAAGACAGTTTCACTTGTTAAGTGAAAAAAAAACCTAACAAAAAACACAACCAAGAACACTCACCACCTCCCACAGGCAGACCAGTGCTCAGCCACTCTCCTCACAGCCAACTGGGAAGCCAAAAAATACCCCACCTTCTTTCTCAACTTTCTCAAGTTTTAAGGCTGAGCACGACATGAGGCAGTACTGACTATCTTGTTGGTCTGCTGGGGTCAGTTGTCCTGGTTCTGTTCTCTCCCAGCTGATTTTGCTCCCCCCCCGTTCCAGCTCCCTTGCTGGTAAAACAGTACAAGAAGCTGAGAAACTGAGATGTCCTTGGTTCTGTGCAGCACTTCTCAGCAATAACTAAAACACTGCTGTGTTATCACCATTGTTTTTACTTCTAAATAGAGCATCATATCAGACACTCTGAAGGAAATGTCAACTCCAACTCAGCTAAAACCAAGACCCAGTACTTCTGTAACCTCACCGTCTACCCACTGCCAAGCAAAAAAAAAAAAAAAAAAAAAAAACTTGTCACATGCAGACATCACGTTTCATTAAGATGAAGATTTCTCAGTACAGGAGAATACCTAAAATCCCCACACAGACTCAGATTTTGACTTAGTTTTAACTTTACTAAGAATAAGCAATAGGAAACAATCAAAATAAATCTCAATTTTCGTAGTTTCTTTCTCTGAATAAAGAAAAATGATGAAGTGCAAATACAATAAAAACCACCTCACTATAGTATAGCAGTCAGTTTATTCCTTGCTCAGGCTCTACCATGTTCCTTTCAGATGATCATTTCAGATTTTTAATTATTAGTAGTATTTTATTTCTAGTTAGGGACAGAAGTTTTCTCAGACTGGCAAAAGCGGTGGATTTGCTACCCTTTGCCAAGAAATAGCTGCACCAAATCATTTTTAAGCCCACTTCCACTTTGGCAACTCAGCCCTGGATTAACAAAGCAAATTCTGGTGAATCAAGAGTTACAGGGAGCTAACCACACCTGCCAGAACTGAGCAGCACAGACAGAATGGTGTGTGTACATTGGAAGTGATCAGGCATCTTCCCTCCCTACACCTTTATTTAGAGGGAGACACTCCAAATACCTTCTGGCTAGACTGCAGCTGCACACCCCACTCCACTTAAGGGCAGGTACACAAGTGCAGCTTGCTGGGTGACAGTGATGGCCATCACAGGAGCAGCAGCTCCTCCTTTGATACAGCTCAAGACAGCGTAACACATGTCTGAGAAAGGCAGCCTGGGAGGTAGAACAAAAGACTGGAGTCAATTCTCTTTAGAATATGTCACTGTACATTAGTCCATCTGGGTTCCTGCAGAGTAGGCAAATGGGTAGGAAATTCCAGTTGCTTAGATTTAGACCTATTCTCTCTAAGGACTGAAATAGTTCTCCTAATTATTTTCAGAAAACATCAATTACATCTCATGGTCTAATGTTGGTACTTAATGACACAGTTATGTGTGACTTTGCCCAAGTCTGGGCTCATCTGATCTAGTATGGGCAACCAATTCACTGAGAACAGGAAACTGAACCACAGACATCTAGATGCTCCTTCCCACCAGGGCATCCAGGAGCCTATCAACTGCACTGGGAGGAAGCATTACTTGAATTAGAGAAGCAGCCAGATCTGGACTTAACTCCTCTTGCTTTCCTTCCCCAACACATCTGCTGCAGCAGCAATGTTAATCATGCAAATGAAGGTTTGCAGAGACGTTTACAGTTAGCCTTTCATTAAGCTAAGCTACTGTGAAGCCAAGAGATATAAAAGAAACGTCTGCTTTTCTCTCGACTGTATCAGAGAGATTTCCTTCACTACAGACCTTGCCTTACTTAATTTTATCTGCACACACACATTGCTGCTAAGGGAAACTGGAACTTTGATGATAAACTTTGGAAATACCAGCAATGAACATTCTTTACCAGATTGCTGCAGTCACGTAATCTGCTCCTGCTCTGCCAACTTCTCTGCACTCTCCTTTGACAACGTCGTGCACGAGCCCATCCACAACCTCAGCAATATCCTACAACACAGCAGAGGAAGAAGTTGAAGCAAGCTGGAATCCTGCTTAAGACAGCCTGAGCACACACGTGAATTGGGAGTGAGGTGTGCCAGCCTTGTTTATGAGACTGTAATTAGCAACCACATCACCTTATTTCTACTTACACACCAAACTAAGGTCATGAAGTACAACAACATGGAAATTCTACAATTATTTTTAAAAGCCATGCAGTAACAGCCCAGAAACAAACCAAGCAGCGTCCCCTCTAAATTATGTGAAGGTTCTGGACAACAATCTGTAAGATCTCAATTGCTTTTTATTATATTTTACACAGTTTTCCCAAATATTCCATCATAATTGATGGATTGAGTGCAAGAGCTCTCAATCCCCCAGAAGAAACTGAGCAGAGAAGGGAGGTGACCAGCATGGCTGAGCAAGGACCTGCAGCTTAAAATGAGGGAAAAAGAGAAACGTACAGGAAGTAGAAGCAGGGTTGTGCAGCCTGGGAAGAATATAGGGATGTTGTCTGCATGTGTAGAAATAAGATTAGGAAAGACAGTGCAAAGATAGAACTGAACTTGGCAAGGGACGTGAAAGATAACAGGAAGGGGTTCTTCAGGTACATGGGCAGGAGGAGACAGGCCAAGGAGCGTTCCCCCTCTGATAAATGAGGAAAGAGAACTGGCTTCCTCAGACATGGAGAAAGCTGAGGTGCTCAATAAGTGCTTTGCCTTGGTCTTCACTGCTGGTCAGGCTCCTCTCCATATCTGCCAGGACCCTGAAGCCCTAGGTGTGGGTGAGAGGTGTGGATTCCATCCCACTATAACAGTGGAACAAGTCCAAGTCCTCCTCATGAAACTGAAAGTGCGTTAGTCCATGGGGCTGGATGATATCCATCCCAGGGTTCTGAAAGAGATGGCTGATGGGGTTGCCGAGCCACTCTCCATCATGTTTGAAAAGTCATGGCTGTCTGGTGAAGTCCCCAGTGACTGGAAAAAGGGAAACATTACTCCCATTTTTAAGAAAGAGAGAAAGGAAGACCTGGGGAGCTACAGGCCAGTGAGCCTCACCTCTGTGCCTGGGAAGATCATGGAGCAGATTCTCCCAGAAGCTTTGTTAAGGTACATATGAGACAGAGGTGAACCAAGACAACTAGCATGGCTTCACCAAGGGCAAATCTTGTTTGACCAATCTGGTGGCCTTCTATGATGGAGTGATGGCATCAGTGGACAGGGGAAGCGTAGTGGATATCATCTACCTGGACTTTTGCAAAGCCTTTGACATGGTCCCTCACCACATCCTTCTCTCTAAATTGGAGAACTGTGGATTTGAAGGATGGACTGTTTGATGGATTAAGAACTGGCTGGCTGGATGCAGCCAAAGGGTTTTGATCAATGGTTCTGTGTCAGCGTGGAGGCCGATCACAAGCGGTGTCCCTCAGCAGTTGGTCTTGGGACCGGTGCTCTTCAACATCTTCATCAATGGCACAGATGATGGCATCAAGTGCACCCTCAGCAAGTTTGCAGATGGCACCAAGCTGGGTGGTGCAGTCAATACACTGGAAGGAAGGGAAGCCATCCAGAGGGACCTGGACAGGCTAGGGAAGTTGGCCCATGGAAATCTAATGAGGTTCAATAAGGCCAAGTGCAGGGTGCTGCACCTGGGTAGGAGCAATCCCAGGTATTTATACAAACTGGGGGAAGATCTCCTTGAGAGCTGCCCTGCGGAGAAGGACTTGGGGGTCCTGGTGGACGAGAAGCTGGGCATGAGCCAGCAGTGTGCGCCTGCAGCCTGGAAGGCCAACTGTGTTCTGGGCTGCATTAAAAAAGCCAGCAGGGAGAGGGAGGTGATTGTCCCCCTCTCCTCAGCTCTTGTGAGGCCCCGTCTGCAGTGCTGCATCCAGGCCTGGGGTCTCCAGCACAGGAAGGACGTGGAGTTCTTGGAACGGGTCCAGAGGAGGGCACTGAGATGGTCAGAGGGCTGGAACACCTCTCCTATGAGGAGAGGTTGAAGGAACTGGGATTGTTTAGCTTGGAGACGAAAAGGCTCTGCGGAGACTTCATTGTGGCCTTCAGTACTTGAAAGGAATGTATATACAGGAGGAGTAATGTCCACAACGAGCGTGGAAAGTGATAGGATAAGGGGGAATGGTTTTAAACTGAGACAGGGGAAGTTTAGATTAGATATTAGGAGGACATTCTCCACACAGAGGGTGGTGAGGCACTGCAACAGGTTGCCCAAGGAGGCTGTGGATACCCCATCCCTGGAGGCATTCAAGGCCAGGCTGGATGTGGCTTTGGGCAGCCTGGTCTAGTGACTGGCATCCCTGCCGCTTGCAGGAAAGTTGAAACTAGATGATCACTGTGGTTCTTTTCAACCCAGATTCTATGATTCTATGAATTTTGGATTTCCTTACCATGTCTGTGTATACAGGCTGAGGCTTTGAAGGAAGAGGATCAGGCTGTGCAGCAGATTGGGAAATTGTCTGTGCAGGAGGCAGCGCTGACATAAGAGGACGAGGTAAAAGTGAGGGCAGAAGATGAGCTGGTGGCTGGACTCTTACTGCTGGGACATCTAAATCCACACCTTTGCTTTCCACTCTTCCTTCTTTGGCAGGTGAGTCAGCAGAAAAAGAAAAAATAAAGGAAATCCATTCAGTCACAAAAGAAGCTAAACTGTTGTTGCTTGATATCTTGCAAAGCAAGCTGATCTGGTAAGCCCCATTACGTCATAAAAGATACCCACAGTGGAGACTTGCTACCTTGAATATAAAGGTCACAAATTGATTTCTGTAATGTGAATGTTTTATAAAATACTCAAATATTAATGAACATTACTTCCAATATCAAGTATATACATCTCCTACATAACAGTTTCAGGAAAAGCACGCCACCTAGCGTCTAAACAAACACCTATTTAATAAATTGGAAGCATCTGTATTTTCAACACAAATGAAGCCAGCCTGAAAGAGAAAACAATTATTTGCAGAGTGGGAACAGGCTATACAAAAGGTGTAGAGAGAAGCTGGCCATCTGAAATAGACAACATACAGTAATTTCACATACACTGGTAAAATTAAGCTCGTTTCCATCAGTGTTTTCTATTTATTAATCATGATGTTTCTTAGTTTTCACACACATGTAAGCACTTCTAAATCAAAACATACTTTCATTACACCCAAACTTCCATGCAATTTAACTCATACGAGCACTGAACAATTTCTGCTTTGTAAAACAAAACAACAGTGCTCCTGAGTAGTACCTAAAATGCATGCTTACTCTTACCTGCTGCTTCCATACTTGATTTTTGGTTACTACCAGCTTGATCTCCAGCAGCAATTCCACCAATATATTTGTTCTGCCCATTGAAGCTAGACACAGGCACATGGTGAGGCACTGGTGGCAGTGGCCTGCCATTTACAACTTCTCCAACTGAGACTGTCAGCTTCTGACTGACAAACAGCGATTTACGAGGTTTGGGTAATCCGTCTGGCTCCAAAAAAGCAGAGCGATTCAGCTCCACATAAGTACTAGGGGAAAAAAAACAGAGACAGGAGAGTACATACTCAAAGTCCCAGTAACCTACACGTTTTCACCTGGACAGCTTAGTGGGGCAAAGTGAGACGGATACAAGGCACTCAGAATTGCTTCCCAGAGCCTGGACATCAATCAGTGGCTGTAACCAAAGCTGGGAAGGCAAGAGCACTGCCCCACAGCTATTCACCCAGGGCAGAGGACACAGACCATTGACATTTCCAGGCACCAGTATGGACAACTCTGACAAATCTCCCGTTAATCTTTATTAACTGTGTATTTACATCAGCTACCTTCCACACAACAGATGCCAGAGCATCTACAGAAGCAATTTTAAAAGGTGTAGTCTTCTTCCAACCCTGGCACCCTTCAGTTTTACTCACTCACTATTCCCAAGCCAAATATTAATAGAAAATAGAGCCTTAACTGCCATGGTCATACTCTTTCTTTCTAAAACTCAGTTTGTACTACTCAGTTTCATCCTGCCCTGCCTGAATCACCACAAGGCCAGTTTTTTCAGAGTATTTGTGTCCTCACTTCCTGCAAAACTGCAACTTCATGAAATACAACTGCAAGGTAAGAACCTAAAATAAAAGTTTTCTTTGATTGAGTTATACAGATCTCATTTTAGGGAGGAAGTCCTTTGAGCCCAACAAGACCAAGCTTAATACACAGTCCCTTTTTGGAGGAAATGTCTTTCCCACTTTTACAACTTAGAAGCTGGGAGTAATTTTGTGTCCTAGAAACGCTTCAACAAAAAAGGTGACGTATGGGTCCAAAAAGAAAATCAAAACTAAAAAAATATAAAAATAAAAACACAAAACAACAACACAGAAAAACACCATAAAGCCCACACCACTTCAGAGGGAAACCACAGTAATTATAGGGATACAAAACCCATTTCTTCAGGGAGAGAGATAAAATTAAGGAACTTTTCATAATTACAGCAGAACAAACAGCACAGTTTATGCCAGTCATTGTTCTGGTACTTTGCTTACACAGTGCTCAGCTTCTAACATATGCCTGTTTTTCTTACTGCAAAGTCCAGGAGTGGTCCATCCATGCAAATCCTTTGCCTAACATTGGCCTAAACCCAGCAGATGCTTTCAGACACATAGAAGCACAGAATGGTTTGGGCAGGAAGGGACCTTTAAGACCATCTAGTTCCAAGCCCCACTACAGGCAGGGACACCTCCCTCTGGACCAGGTTGCTCAAAGCCCCATCCAGCCTGGCCTGGAATGTTTCCAGGGAGTGGGAAGATTCTTCTTTTTGTTTACACTTACTTATCAGATACACTCAGGCCATAGTAACTTATAAAATCAGTTGCTTCCTCACAGTCTTTGAACAGTAGCATACGGACAAGGTGATCCAAGGGAAACACTGTACATCTTTGGGTGCTCACAGTGTACGCAATATTGAGAGACTTGAGTGCATCTTTCCGAATCTGTGGGTAAAAAAAAAACAGGAGTCATATATTTAAACTACTAAGTACCCACCAAACATGAAAACTGTCTTTAAAACAAAGCAGCGCTTTGTTATAATAGAATCACAGAATGGCTTGGGTCAGAATGAATGTAAAGGATCACTGAGTTCCATCCCCTTTGCCACAGGCTGAGCCACCAACCTCCAGCTCTGGTACTAGAACTGGTTGCCCAGGGTCCCATCCAAGCTGGCCTTGAACACCTCCAGGAACAGGGCATCCACAGCCTTTCTGGGCATCTGTTCCAGCACCTCACCACTCTCTCTGTAAGGACCTTCCCTCCTTGAACTTAAACTCCTTAAACTCTATGTTATCAAGCATTCACATAAACAATTATTTAGATTTAGCTTTAAGTGCTGTGCACTTGCTTTCCAGTTTCCATTCCTTTTCTATGCTGCTCATTTTGAGCACATCTCCTTGCAAGTCTTGTGCAGGAAAAAAACCTTGCAAGGGCTTCTGAAAGCACAAGTAGTTTCTGCCTTTTATAACCGGGTAGAAAAACTCATAATTTTTTCAAAAGGCTTATAAAATGTCAAAAAAACTTAGTTTTTTTCCTAAAATAATTTCCTTGCAAAAGACCCAGACCCAGACATAATACACACATACACTTTTCTATTTCTTACCTGGTTGAAATAACAATGTAAGAGACAGGCATTCAGATAGGAAGCTGCCTGCACTAATTTGAAAAACCTCACAAAGTTGTTGCTGTTTAGTGCAGCAAAAGCTTGAACTGCAAATCTAACTTCAGGGGAGTTTCTAACCTCTGGATGAAACTGCTGCACTTCTCTGTGGAGACAAAAACAGAGACAAACCTTTGGTACTAATATGAACAATCCCAGGTGGACAGCAACTTGTAACACTATGGAAGCTGTCTATCTCACTGAAAGCTCCTAATTTTAATTCCAAGTTACCGATAAGTATGAGCTAAATTTGCTGCAATATTCAGTCATATTTTTTAATTATACCCATATAATTAGCATGTTAGGTACATCACTCCAACTTCTAAGAAAGAAGGCAACTGGGACAGTGAACTGAAAAGCAGAGTATAGCATTGTCTACAAAATGTATTTTCCCTGATCCTACTGGAGACAAAGCTGTTAAGATTGCATAGTTATCTTTTTCTTTCCTTAAAAAAAGAGTTCCTCTACTGACCTATCAAAAATAAAAATAGCATTACAACAGCATACTACAGCTTTGCTTTGGCAAAGCAGATTGAAAGTAAGTTCATTTCCCATGCAATTTGTCTGGACTTAATTCTAATTTCTACCCAAATGCAAGAGAGAAATCTAGTGATATCTGTCACACCCACCTGAGAATATCACCCTTGTTGAGATTCAGCAAAACACTGTAACCTCTGAACTCTGCTTCACTCTTGCAGTAAATTCCTTTGTTAGCCAGGTCCTGATACATCTCCTTCAAGCTCTGTAAGCATTTTGTCATGTTCTCATTGTTGATTTTGGCATCAAAGGAGGACATTGGCTCTTCACACAGGTGGTGAGCACAATGAATGTGAAAGCGAGTGCACTTCTCAATCAGAGACACCATCAGTGGGTTGCAGAGATGCTGCTGGGTTATATCCTAACCAGAACAATTAACAAACCATTAAATTCATTTTAAACTAAAGCTGAAAAGCAGTCATCTAATACTACATTCAGAAAACTATTTTGACTGTGCTTTGAGTCAGCTTTCAATTCAAATCCTTAAGCTACTGCTTTTTCTTCATGTTTTACAACATTATGTGACTATTTATTTTCTAGCACCAAACATTTCCATCTACTAGGGCTTACCTTTCTTATTCCCCGAGTTCTGTTCCAGACAAAGTCATACCACTCTCGGTAGTTTCCTTCTCCTTGGTCCATAATGTTTGTCACTAAATAGTCCATGGTCATGCTCAACACTTCAGAGGGTCTCAACTCATGTGGCAAAGGTTCCTCCTGGTCTGCTGAAGACCTGCTATATTCCTTGATTGCTGCTGCATGATTTACCTGCAAGAAGCAGAGAAAAGAACTGAAAACCAAGGGGCCTCTTTTAATCCTTCAGAAGGATTTCATCACATGCATGCATTTATTTTAGCAAAGAGCAGACTACTAAGACAGTTTTTCCAGAGTTGACACCAACAGCCCATGTTGGTTCTGCTACCACAGCAAATACATTTTATTTTACGACAGCAGTTGCCTTGGCAATCTTTAACTCACCACCTTCAGGACCTGTACACCACTACCACAACTACAAATCTAAAAGCCTGTCTGGAACTAAACAGAAAAGGTTACTGTACCAGTTAAACAGCAATTGCCTAGCATTTTTGTTTTACATTCACAAGAGAAAGACAGGTTAAGGAAACAGTTCACAGAATGCACCACTAGAACTAACCCTGTAATCAGTTAAACAACAAGCCTTATATGAGGAGCAAATGAACAGATGAGCTGGGAACAGCGAACTCCAGCTTACAGAGGGCTCGTACCTTGTCAGATCCTAGCAGCACCTCAAAGATACTAAGCTGGTTTCTTGTCTCTCTCATATACCGCTCCTTTTCAGGGCACATGTCTGGACAAGTGCCAACAATAGTTTTTGCTTTGCCAAGATCAGTCCTTTTTATTCGAGCTAAAAAAAAAAAATAAGAAACAAACTAAAATTGTAATGTTAAGTATCTGTCCTTTTGTTTTCATGACAAGCTATTTCCTTAATGTGCAGCCCACAGCAGCATCTGTCTCAGGTGAGGTCTGAACACTGGTCAATGGATGGATGTCAAGAAGCACTCTGACAAAGGTAAGGGTTCACAGAAAAGCACAGAAAAGGATCCATAGGGGCTCCTAAACAGCCTCCCATTGGAGGAGGATCAGCTGGAAATACACAAGGATGGGGTTCCCCTGTGCTAGGACCTATCCCAGGTCTCCACTGCTCCTCTGGAGAAGCTTCTCATACTGTCCCACCTGGATATCGAGACTCTTGCTGAAAATGTCAGTCTGTAGGAGATACCTGATGCTTTGTATCCCAAAAGCTTATCCTGTTTTGTATTCTAACCAAGCACCAGCAATTCCACAATTCCATGCCAAGTGAGAGCAAACGTTTGCTGATTTTAAAAAATAAAATCTTAAATAAAATAAGATCAGCTTTGAAAGAACAGGAATGGGATGAAGTAATTTAGAAAACAGAACAGTGAAACAAGCAAATATTTCTTGAAATAATGACCAGCTTTACTTAATAGTGTCCTTTTAGAGAAACACTGTTAACCTTTGGTCAGCTTTCTTCGAAGAACCTGCAGAGGTAAAAACTGCCCTATGATCAAGAAAACCAAGACCCTGTGTTTTACAAGCCAGATACACATAATGGCGCAGTTACTTGGGGTGGCTTAATTGACCTTGTAATTGATGAGGACTGCAGAACAAAAAAGGCAAATGAGTCCTTGTACCTGCTAATTTTCTACCCGTTAGAAATAGAGTGTTTTGTGCCAACACAACACTGACAAAATACACTCAAAAATACTCAGGAATTCATTCAAACAATTTGCTATTCATTACACGTAAGAAATATATGTGTGCAATAAAATACACACTTTGTCACTCTACAAGAAACGAATGTAAACAACAATCTAACCCAATAGAAAGGTGTGAAGGGTAAGAACACAAGAATAAGAACAGTACCTTGTCGCATGATTTTATCTCTTTGGTCCAAAAGACGGTATCTTTCTTCAGATGTCTCTGCCACTAATCCTACCAGGTTACTTAGAGACAACAAAGAAGCTCCCATGGCTTCCGAGTTCTGTCCTTCAGAACTGGAATCAAACAGATCTACTTCAAACTGCAGAGCCTTTCGAAGACCAGGCTTCTTTGCTGGAGAGCTAAAAATAAGCTTATTACTTACAAGTGCATGACAACATACACCAAATAATCATTGTCAAACTAGGTAAACCATTAAGGTGCTAGAGAAGAAGGTACAAAAAAAGCCTGCAGCTTCAGCACCTGGCATAAAGCAGGTCTCTTGTATAAAGCCTGTTCTCTAACTACAAGAATACAACGATCAAACTCATAGCTTCTCTGAAAAGAGGACTAATTCCACAGAGCCATTTTTGTCAATGAATGAAACCATTCACTTCAGAAGCCAGTTTAGCCAAGACCACCCAACACAGTTAATCACTGCTTGGCCTTACTAGGGCTCTGCACTGTTTTTCACCGTTTTCTTATGCCTCACAGTTATAACTGTTTCTCATGTTGTAAAAAAACAAATAAAAAAATGCTTAAAAAAAAAAAGGAAACTGAAGAAATAAAAAGCCTTAATAAGCAGTCAGAAGTAGCTGTCTGACAAAATGTGAGATTTGTAACTCCAATTCATCCAAAAAGCCACATGTTTAAAATGAATGTGTGCCAGGAGGTAGATGAAGCACACTCTCTTGTTAGGAACATCACTACTCAGCACACACTGATCACTTTTCTCCATCCACCCTGACAGATTCTCAGAGAACATTCGTACATACCTTCTACCGGGCATTACAGTGCTGGCAGAAGATCTTATTAAAGGTTTTCGAAGAGGGGAATGCTGGTAGTTTTGCTCTTCATTGCTTTGCCTTCCTTCATCTTCATTTGCTTTCTTCTCCTTGGATGAAAATTCTCTTTTTGCTGGACCTAAAGTGATAAACATCAAGGCAGGTACTTGGCAAATAATTTTTACAACAGCTTTTTGTCTCAACTCCCCAGTGGTGTAGTGAGCAATTGGCTTTATTTTCTGATAATATTATTCCAGTTACAACCTCATGGATGCATACAACACCAATAGGACAGCCTGCACCGGAAATGGCACCAATGAAGCCCGCTAATTGCTAGTTAGCTTCAGAGTTCTATAATGAAAAAGCATTCTTGAATAAAACATTGCTAAGCCATAAATGCAATTATTCAGCACATTTACTGCCAGTAAATTAAGTCCAGGCATCAAATTTTAGTTCCTTTGAATTTGGGTTATAATTCAAAAGTCACAGCTCAATACCTTGTGGCCTGGTTCAGCCTTGCTTGGTGACAAACCGATGAAAAAGCACAAAAACCATAACACCTGGTACTTAATCTGTTTTACCAACAAAAACTACAACTGTCACAATGTCTTCGGTGCTCCTGAGGTACTCGAACAATTCACACATCCCAAGCTCAGGCTGGGGTTGACATAACTCTTGAAGAGTTAAGTTGAAAAGAAAAAGAAGAAATTCTCAGCCAGCTGGATGTCTCACACTCTCTCAGATCATTTACTATAGAACAGTGCCGTTCAGGTTTCAGTAGACCTTAATGCCAAAATAACATGACAAAAACATCCTTCCAGCTACTGCTCTGAGATATTTCTTCCCAGGAAAACAACTCTACAGCTGCTCTCTTTCTGTGAAGCTAAGTTTCCGGGTTGGTCAAAGCTGTGGCAAGTCATTCACTCATTCTGAAACATATCCTCAAGCCAGGAACTTAGAGTTAGAAACTCTGATTCATAAAATTAAAGGGAAGCACGTGGCAATTCAAATGCTCACCTGGGGAGTTGAATATCCAGCACCAGCATCTCCTCTTGCCTGAATCTCAAGCAGAGGGCTGGGGATAGCCGCTTCCTGGTCCTACGCTTCCTAGGAGCTATTCTCATTTTGTGAAGGCAGAGAAATAATTCTTTATGCAACAAAATGCTTTAAAATATCCTCCCTCTCTTCCCAATACCTGTGCCACTACCCACTGTACTACGCATCCCCTGCTCATCACATCAAGAAACATAAGACTTACTTGTTTTCTTCTTCTGCCAGAATGTCACTATGTCTTTGTGCAACTCTTTTGCCTTTTTTTTGGCGAGGGCTGCAGAGGCCTGAAAGAAAACAAAGCAGAACACAAGAGCCCATCAGCACCACGAAGGACAGCTTCTGCTGGAGAAACACGTACCAATACTCAGACCTCTAGGCACTGCCTTTTAGCCTAGAATCATTTGAGTTGGAAGGGACCTTTCAAGGAGGCCATCTAGTTCATCTCCCTTACAATGAACAGGGCCACCCACAGCTCGATCAGGTTCTCAGAGCTCAGTCAAGCCTGACCTTGAACGTCTCCAGGGATGGGGCATGGACCAGCTCCCTGGTCAACCTGTGCCAGTGCTTCACAACCTCCTGCCTGAGGCATCCATGCAATGGGCAGGGCCGGGCGCATTTCCACAAACACATTACTTTTCTAAGAGTGCAGAACACACGGGACTACAGGCCTCACTAAAGCAGTGGCATTCCCAGCAAGCGGATCACCCTGCAAAGATAACGTTTCCCTTGATGCTACTGGGGGCAAGCAAGGAGGCGGCAGCAGCATCGCATTCGGTTTGGGTGGGTGTGACACGAGAAGCCTCTGCTCGGCGTTCAACTGCGCACTAATCACAGAACCACGAAGGCTGTAAAAGACCGCTAAGATCATCCGATCCAACCGCCAGCCCCCCATACCGTGCCGCGCCGACCGCGTCCCTCAGTGCCTCAATCACCCTCTACTCCAACACCTCGGAGGGCAGCGACTCCACCACCTCCCCCGGCCGCCCGCTCCAACGCCTCGCCACCCCTCCGGACGACGGTTACTCCCTAACATCCAACCCGACCCCGCGCCAGGCCGCGGCACCCGGTTAACCCCCGCTCCCTCGCCGGCAGCCCCCGAAACTCACGTGGTCAAAGAAGTGGACGACGGCCGTCTTCTTATTCCTGCGCGTCATGACCCGGCGGACTTTCACGAACTGCCCGAAGTGCTTCTCCAGCACCGTCCTGTCGTTGAGGTAGTCGGGGACGTTTTTGCACTGGATGGCCGTCAGCTCTCCCGGCGCCGCGCCGCCCAGCCCGTCGGCGCCGTCGCCGCCCCTCGCCCTGCGCGCCGGGGCGACGGGAGCGCCGTCCGCGGGCCCGAGCCTCGCCGGGTGCGGCCCCTCCCGGCCCTCGGCCGCCGGCTCCTCGGCCGCGCCCCGCTCGGGCTCCCCGCGCTCGCGGCCCTGGCTGCGCAGCACCTCCTGCAGCGTGCGGCCGAACAGGGCCCCGCCGCGGGGCCGGCTCAGCAGCACGGCGCGCTTCTCCGGCGGAGCCGCCGCCCGCCCGCCCGCCGCCGCCATCCGCCGCGGCGAGCGCTCCCGCTCCTCCTTCCGCTTCAGCCCCTTCGGCGCCGCCTCGCCCGCCTCCTCTCCGACGTTGGACGGCGGCCGCGCCGCGCCCTCGTCGGGGCGGCCGAGCGGCGGGGCGGGCCGCGAGAAGGAGAAGCCGGCGGCGGGCGCCGGCGGCTCGGGTCCCGCCGCCTCGGGCGCCAAGCCGAAGGGCGGCGAGAAGGTGAAGGCGGCCGCGCCGTCGGGCGCCTTGAAGCGGAACTCGGGCGGCGCGAAGGCCCCGCCCGCCGCGTCGCCCGGCGCCGGGAGGCCGCCCAGGTTGGTGGGCGGCTTGAAGCTGAAGCCCGCGTTGCCCGCCGCCCGGCCCGGCCCGTAGGGCGGCGCGGGGACGAAGGGCGGCGCGGCGGCCGGGCCGAAGCGCGGCGGGAAGGCGGGCGGGCCGCGGAACGGACCGCCGGCGTTCATGGCCTCCGCTCTGCGCGGCGGGCCGGCCCCGCGCACGCGCCGGCGGGCCGAGGCGGGCCGAGCGGGCGGGGCTCCGGCGCCATGAGCGTGCTGATCCGCAACGCGCAGCGCGCCGCGCCTCTGCGCCGGGTGCCGCTCCGTCGCGCCGTCTGCGCGCTGCGGGCCGCGCTGGGCGCCGCGCGCTTCGACGTGGCGCTGATCTGCGCCGGCGACGGGCTGATGAAGCGGCTGAACGGCGCGTACCGCCGGCGCCCCGAGCCCACCGACGTGCTGTCCTTCCCCTACCACCGGGTGGCGCCGGGCGAGCTCCCGCGGCCGCGCAGCCGCGACGAGTACAACCTCGGGGACATCTTCCTGGGGGTGGAGCTCATCCAGCGGCGGTGCCGCCGGGACGGGGAGGACTTCGAGAGCGTGCTGACGGTGAGCGCCGCGCCGCGGGGGCGGCCGGGCGGCGGGCTGGGAGGCGTTGCCTTTGTTTTTCTTCTTGGCTTTTAGCTGCGGGAGGCAGGGGTCCGACTGGAGCGGTGCACGGCTGGTACAGCGGGCGGCCCAGGAGAACCTCGCGTTCTCGTGCGTATTCTCTTTCTCATGAGACCGTGAATCTCATAGAGAATATGCATGTTGGACACAACGCGCCTGCACGTACATACAGACTGGGGGAGGACAGGCTAGGCAGCACCCTGTGGAAAGGGATCTGGGCTTTTTGGCTGACAGCGAGTTGAACCCGAGCCAGCAGTGGGCCCTGGCAGCCAGAAGGGCCAATCATACACTGAGGTGCACCAGAGCCAGCATGGCCACCTGGGAGAAGGAAGGCAGTGTCCCCCTGGTGCAGCCTCACCTGGAGCCCTGGGACAGGTTGGGTGCCAGAGTACGAGAAGGACACAGAGCTATTGGAGAGCATCCAAAGGAGGGCTGCAAAGATGGTGAAGGATCTGGAGGGCAACGTGTGTGAGGAGTGGCTGAGGTCCTTGGTTTGTTCAGCCCAGAGCAGAGGAGGCTGAGGGGAGAATCATGGTAGTCTCACTAGCTTCCTTGTGAGGGGAGCAGAGGGGCAGGCTCTGATTTGAACTGGTTGAGAGCGGCCGCCAACGGCTCAGTGTCCGGATGGAGAGCAGTGGATGAGTGATGTCCATTAGGGGTCAGTACTGGGACTGACATTATTTAGTTTCTTCATTACTTACACGGACAGTGGGATTGAGTGTGCCCTCAGCAAATACGCGGATGACACCAAGCTGTGTGGTGTGGTCAGCATGCCCAAGGGACAGGATGTCACCCTGAGGGATGATGACAGGCTGAGCAGCGGGCCCAGGAGAACCTCATGAGGTTCAACAGTGCCAAGAGCAAGGTTTTGCACCTGTGTCGTGGCAACCCCACCATCATTACAAGCTGAGGGATGAAAGGAACAGAGCCCTGCGGAAAAGGACCTGGGGGTGGTGGTGGATGGCAGCTGGACATGAGCCAGCACTGTGCCCTCACAGCCCAAACCCAACCAAATCCTGGGCTGCATCAAAAGCAGCGCGGCCAGCAGGGCAAGGGAGGGGATCTGCCCCTCTGTGCTGTGAGACCTCACCTGGAGTACTGGGTCCAGATGGAGAGTCCGCAGTGCAGGAGAGAGGTGGATCTGTTAGAGCATGTCCAGGGAAGGGCCACAGAAACAATCCAAGGGATGGAACGCTTTCCCTAAAAGCACAGGCTGAGAGAGCTGGGGCTGTTCATCTTGGAGAAGAGAAGGCTGTGGGGAGACCTGAGAGCAGTCTTTTAATATCTGATGGGGGGCTATGAGAAAGAAGGGGACAGACTCTTTAGCAGAGTCTGTTGTAACAGAACAAGGGGAAGCAGCTCCAAACTGAAAGAGGAAAGATTTAAATTGGTGAAGGATTGGGTATAAGGAAAAGGCTTGTTTTGTTTTGTTTTGTTTTACAATGAGGGTATTGAAGCAGTGCCACAGGTTGCCCAGAGAGTTGGTGAGTTCCCCATCTCTGGAGATGTTCAAGGTCAGGCTGAACAGGGCTCTGAACAACCTGATGTAGCTGTAGATGTCTGTGTTCGTTGCAGAGAAGTTGGATTACGTGGCCTTTAAAGGTCCCTTCCATCTCAAACGGGTCTGTGATTACTTAAAAGCCTGGAAGTTTGATTTGGTTTAATTTAAAATAGCACACGTGAGCAATTTCAGCTGCACACTGCTTCCGTACAGGAAGGACAGAAGACTGCCTACACCCACCACCTCCCTTGAGGGCTCAGTTCAGAATCTGCCCAGCCAGTGGCTGCTTGCTATGGCAGTGAGTGGAGCCCAAGGCTTTGGAGAAATTAGGGGCTTTGGCACTGGTAAAAGGGCTGCTGAAATGGTGCAGGGTTAGTTGTGGCACTGCTCATGGCACAGGTCAGCAGAGCGAGCTGCCTGATACCAGTGGCAACTGTGTGTCACTCCTGTTGCTGATCTTGCCTGTACCAGCAAGCTGTGATAAATGTTGGGAGTTAGGTTTGTAACATCTACTTTCTATTCTTTCTTCTCTGCGCAGGTGACTGCAGCCCATGGATTGTGTCACTTGCTTGGCTACCAGCACAACACAAAGGCAGAATGGCAACAGGTAAAGCAGTGCCCTTGCCCTGGGAGGGTGCACAGTGCCCAAACTGTACCAAAGCTGAAAAGATTTCTATTTATCACATCTCATGGGAGGGAGTGGCCCCAAGTCCTGTCCATCTCAGAATCACAGAGCTGTGGGGGCTGGAAGGGAGCTCTGGAGATCCTGTCATCCAATGTCCTGCTAAAGCAACCTCCCTACGGAAGGTTGCACAGGGAAGTGTTTGAATGGGTTCAAATATCTCCAGAGAAGGAGACTCCACCACCTCTCTGGACAGCCTGTTCCAACACTCTGACACCATTCTGGATAGCCCTGACAAGCTTATGTTTCATAATATGTATCAACGTATGGGGCATATGTTGATAAGGTCATGCTGCTTGTCGCACAGGTGTCATGTTCCTGCTCTGTTCTCTGGCCTGTGGTATTCAGCAGCTGTTTCAGCCCCTGTTCCCTTCTCCTACAGATGTACCAGAAGGAAGAGGAAATCCTGGAGGAGCTGAACCGGCTCACAGGCAGCAACCTCCGGCCCCTCACTGCTGGCCTCTTCTGAGAGAGGGGCTGGGCCGCCACCAGGCCACCCCAGACATGGCGGCACACCACCCTGGCCTCCTCATGCTACTGCTGCTGGGTCTGGCCACCCTGGTTTTCCCACCGCACGCTGCCGCCCAGTCGCTGCCCGCTGCCCTCCGTGCTGGCCATGCTGCCACCTCGCTGCCTGCTGCCGCTGCCGCTCCACGCACTCGGTGAGGAGCAGCCCCACCACCCTGGCCCAGACAGTGCTGTCTCCCTGGGTCTGAGCCCCCTCCCTCACTACCTCCGCTCAGACCACGGGTCTCCTGATGTGGTGACCAACAGCACCATTGGGAAGTGATTTTGTGGGCACATCAGAAGCCTTGTTCACCCTGTTGTTTTGTTTAAGTCATGTCTGGGAGACAGCGCCATCATAGCTGTCATGATTTGGGTGCTGCCTTGGGTCTCTTTCTGTCTACCAACAACCAGTCTTGCCTTTCTGGTGGCAGAGAGCACTCACACTTCCCACACATTTGCCCTGTCCCTCATCAAAGGGTCCTCTTTTGTCACTATTTGTGTCACAGGAATTAGCCTGAGTGACTTGTCAGTCATTTCACCTCCCCTCATTGCATACAGATTACTCTTCAGGGTGTGCAAAATGCTCAGGGTGTTTGCTTGGTGTCCCTTCCAAGTCCTCCCTTGCTGCAGGAGAGGCCTGTGACACAAGCTACTTTGATGATGCCTGCCAAGAAGGCCTTCAACAATAGGAGAGGCCATTGGGATCATCCTTCCCATACTGCTAGGGCATACTGTGCAGTGTGCACTGCTCGGCTTTCCCCCTTGTACACTACCTTCCATCTCCTGAATGCCTCAAACTCATGAAAGAGCAAGAATTATCCTTGCAGTAGAGTTGCACCACATATACATGAAGTAAAATAACCTGTGTAATTGCTTTGAATTCTTCCCGAAGTGGTGGTGATGCTTGTTCTCTCTAGGTACCTTCTCTATGATGTAAATCCTCCTGAAGGATTCAACCTTCGCAGAGATGTCTATATTCGTATTGCTTCACTTGTGAAGACTTTGCTGAAAAGTGAAAATTGGGTGTTAGTTCTGCCACCCTGGGGACGTCTCTATCACTGGCAGAGCCCTGACATCCTTCAGGTCCGAATCCCTTGGTCTGAATTCTTTGATCTCCCAAGCCTTAATAGGAACATCCCTGTCATTGAATATGAGCAGTTCCTTGCAGGTAAAGTATGAAGTAATGCATTCTACACTTGACTAAATCATGGAGATGTTTTCTGTAGAAGCTTGTTTCCGCATATGCTTTTATCCTCATGTATGCGAAATAAAAAATGATACAGATGGCAGGAGGAGGAATGGGAAGAAAACCTTTGGGGACAGCTTTTTCCAGTGCTCTGTTGCTCTAACAGTAAAGAATTTCCTTCTCATGTTCAAATGGAATTTCCTGTCTTCTATTTAGTCCCATCCCTTGTGTTGGTGGGCACCACAGAAAAGAGCCTGTCTCCACCCTCTTGACGCTCCCCTTTCAGATATTTAGAAGTGTTAGTAAGATACCCTCAGTATTTTCTTCTCCAGGCCTGGACAACCCCAGCTCCCACAGCCTGTCCTCATTCAGGAGCTGCTCCAGGCCCCGACCATCTTTGTGGCCCACCACTGGACTCTCCAGCTGTTCCCTGTCTGTCTTGAACTGGGGAGCCCAGAACTGGACACAGTATTCTAAATCTGGCCTCACCAGGGCAGAGCAGAGGGGGAGGATCACTTCCCTTGACCTGCTGGCCATGCTCTTTGTAAAGGACCCCATGACACCATTGGCCTTCCTACTAGCAAGGGCACGCTGATGGTTCATGGCCAACCTGTTGTCCACCAGGACACCCAGGTCCCTCTCTGCAGAGCTTTCTCCAGCAGGTCAGCCCCTAACCTGTACAGATGCATGCAGTTATTCCTCCTTAGGTGCAAGACTCTACTCTTGCTCTTGTTGAATCCCATAGGGTTTCTCTCTGTCCAACTCTCCAGCTTGTCCAGGCCTTGCTGTATGGCAGCACAGCCTTCTGCTGTGCCAGCCACTCCTCCCAGCTTCATTTTCTTTAGAATTTAATGCCACATAGAGTTAACCACCACACTGCAAGTGTCACAGAGCTCTTCAGCACAGGAAATAAAGACCACCAAATGTCACACCTCCGTAAAGGGCCCTAAAGGGATCCTTGGCCCTTCCTTTTCAGGAAAAAGAATTTTAAACCCTGAAATTTGAGGGAAGAAGGGTAAGAGGGGTATGAGCTTCTGGAGGCTCTTCCTGTAGCAGCTACCCACAGCACTGAAAATCTCTATTCTTCATACTTTCTCTGATCATGAAGGGAATCAAACTCAAATTTTACATGAGTCAAA